AAATTAAAGTCAGTATTTTAGGCAAGCAGATGGGGTTTTGCCAGTTTACAATCTTGTTGCGTGTTGTTCTCACCTTTGAGTGACTGGTTTGCTTTCATAGGGCTATGGATGCTGAATTGAGGATTATGAAAGAATTTCAATGTCAGCGTCATGAATTCTTTCATTTTTGTAATTTAGAGAAACCTTTGCATGATCAGACAGCAGAAAGAAAGCAATCCATGCCTTGAAAAGCCTCATCAGATTAAAGTTGGTCTCTCTCTAAGGGGAAAAAGAGAGGTAGGGCTTAAATCATGACTTTTCAACCCATAGGTTTCTATGGAAATATCAAAACTTACCAAAACACAGCGAGAACATGTAGTGAGAGAGCTCCTCTGGAAGGGAGGTCCTGCAGGCTGGTGGCTCCAACACCCAAGCACAAACTGGCTTGGCTGCAGTCTCCTCCATGCTGTCTCGCTGCACACCACCTCTGTACATCAGCAAACAGCTGAGGCTTCATTTCCTTTCTTCCTCTCTGAAGGTATCAGCTTAGGGCCACAGGAACTATGATTTTCTCAAGTCTGAATCGGGGAGATCAAATCTCACCTACAAACAGTGTGACGTGAAAATTCAGGTGTGCCTGTGCTGCTGTTCTTATCCTCATCTTGAGAACAGGAGAGCAAGAGATGTTCAAAGAGCCTGGAAGATAGCCACAGCCTTATTAAAGTGTTCCAGTCGATGAAACTGAGGTTGAAGCCATCACCAAGGAGTCATTAACAGCAGTATGTCAGAGATCCTAAAAACGTCTTAGTTTTAACTTGGATCAGCTGCATTTCTGGCTGTACGGTAACAGAGGCACCACAGTCTCTCTGTGGGGAGATGGGTACCAAAGTGCCCTGCTATGGCCAAGCACTATCACTGGGAGTTAGGGACTCCACCAAAGGTAAAGGAATGAGGGACCAGGCATTTAAAGCCCCAGCCTGAAACCAGCCCCTGGCAGCTGCATCCGCATTTGTCCTTGGAAGGAATAGCTGCAGGGAGCACAAACAGGCAGCAGTGTCCTAGGAGACAAGGGGTTAGAGAGCAGGGGGAAACAGCACAGAGGCTGAAGAGCTTTAGTCCCAGTTGCAGACCTGCTCTTGCACTTTGCTCAAGCACGTGGAGCCTCTGGGGTGAGGACTGGAGCACTCTGTTCTCACCAGTCACAGCCACTTCTTCCTCCCTCTGGGTGTCAGTGGCTGCTTACCGCAGGCAAAGTAAATCAGTGCTACAGCAGGGCTGAAGAATATCCTGCTGCTGAGGAGGGAAGTGGCACCTACTGGAGTTTAAAAGAAAAGCTGGAGGCAATCAGAACAGAAGGTGGTAAGTCCCAGTTAATTCCTGTTTAGAGAGAAAAGGCAGAAACTCTGTATTGCCTATGTTGAATCAAGGTGCTAAGTCCCTTGAAGACTTGCACACTCCCAATGGGTTTAAAATTAAACGGGAAGTTCAGGTTAGATCTGAGGCAGAAGCTCTTCCCTGTGAGGGTGCTGAGGTGCTGGCACAGGGTACCCACAGAAGCTGTGGCTGCCCCATCTCTGGCAGTGTTCAAGGCCAGGTTGGACCAGGCTTGGAGCAACCTGGTCTGATGTGAGGTGTCCCTGCCTCTAGCAGGGGGCTGGAACTGGATGGATGAGCTTTAAGGCCCTTTCCAACCCAAACCATTCTATGATTCTATGAGCAAGCTCTGGCTCGTGCTACCTTGTCTTTACAACAGGCTGTGCTGAAGCAGGTTTTCATAAAGCCTGACTGCAGGTGGCATAGTACCTCCTCCCCATTGCCTCCACTCCCACCCCCAGGGCAGAACAAGCTCCCTTCTCTTCCCCAAACCACACAGCTGCAAGGTTGAACCACTACTGTAGGTGCAAAACACTGTCTGATGGGATCCTTGCACTTGGTAAACCTGCTTTACATCACCCTGAGTGTAAACACAGATCTGGAGGAACATGAATACAAACCAGGCAGATCCAGCCCTGCTCCAAGGGACGTGCCCCTGTCAAACAGACCTTTCAGCTGGGACACGCAGGGGAAGACAAAAAACCCAAACAGGTAAATTGCAGCTGGGTGCTTTTCAGGCAACACGAGCAGAAGGCTAGCAGGAGTTGCTAGATTTCACATCTCTAGTGCACAGCTCTCAGCCTCTTGACACTCCCAGCAGAAGCAATTAATTTCTGGGACAAACAGAGAGCTATCCTGCTCCGCAGATGTTTCCTCTTAGTTGCACTGGACTCGAGTCAATGAAAACGTGGCAATATCTGCACAGCAACACATGGAACTTTCCACCAGCCCAGATGGGAACAGGAGCAGGCTCAGTTGAAGCCTCTGTTAAAAATCTAACTGCTATTTTTTGCTTGGAATGGAAGGGAGGGGTTAAAGAGAGTTAAGAAAATAGAAATGGGCAGCATAGCCCTTAGCAAGCCTGAGAACCACAGATCTCAAAGATTCCTTAGCAGATGCTCTATCAGCTGGGAGAGCTGCAGGCCCTTTTACCCTGCTCAGAACTTTGTTTATCCATCTGGGATGTGAGCTGGTAGCAACAAACCTCCAGGGGCAGCTGAGATCAACTAGCAGCTGTATAATACTCCTGGAAAGGCTCGTTTATTTATATTTAGGGGTAGAAGCAGCCCCAGTCTGAACTGGGGTCGCACTCAACCCCACTGCTTTGCCAAGCCAACAGATGGGAGGTAGCAAGTGTGAAAGGAACAGGGCCCCTTGAAGACCCCCAGTTCATTCATGCCTAGTTACATAGCTACAGAAGACCTGAGGGGAGGACATACATGGTTAGAAGAGGCACTGCAGATACTTGCACCATATTAACTCACAGGGACGCTCTCAAAGTCCTTGGAGCCAAGCATTTTATGACCAAGTTAGCCAATTTTGTACACATAGATGCTCAAGTACCAAGAGTTTGCTTTTTAGGTATCTTGAGCGCATAGCCTAGATCTCAAATAGGCTGAATATTTTCTATCCTTAATATGAGGTGAAGAGGGAATGAGCATACATTCACCTCCACAAAGGAGTCAGTTAACATGCTTGCAACACAAGTTTCTGTCCCATTGCCAGCTCTTGTAGCAACCAACTGAAAATTAAAAGGCTCTGGAGAGGTGACAAGCAGCATCTTAAATTATGTAACATGCAAACACTTGGAGATCCCTCAGCTGGAAGGCTACGTAGACATACACTATTATTACCATGTTATAAAATTCACCCTGGAAGTAATTCTGGGCAGCCCTTTCGTATCCAACCACTAATCTGTAATAAAACAAGCAACAACTATTCAGCTGTGGTCTGACTTGCGATCCTCATTTGGATTAAGCATTTTCTGAAATGTTAAACAACACATGACCAAACAAATACTGCCTGTGGTTAAGTCTAAGATAGTGTAAATGTTTATTCTCCCTTCAGTCTTCTTTCTACATTTTTTCACCTAGCTCTGTGCAGCAAGGACTTTGGATCACAAGGAATGTGGAGCACAGCTGCTGCAAGCTGATGGCAAGTTAGTCTTTGCCTCACATAGACTAACTCTACTGGAGTGATTAAAGATATGTATATAAAGCTATGTATAATGTTTGGCACTTCTTGGTGTGAAGAAAGTGCCATGGCACTACCACAACCTACCTTACTAAAGGTACTGAAAAAATCCCCCCTCTTCAAAATAGACATCTTGGGCAAATTTTGTGGGACCTTTTTAATGCATTTGTTTATTTGAACCTGCCTGCTCCTTGTAGTAGTAGCCACACATACCTGAAATACACAGTAGTACTGTACCTTGAATGGTTATGAGAGCTCCAGGCAAAGGGCTGAAGCCACTTGGGGACCTTAAGTACACTATACATTTTAATGTGATCATGACTATTTGTTTGAGTTTTGTCCTATATCTACAGCTCTTCCTCACAAAAGCCTTCCCTTTCTTCTAATTAGACATGTTCTGGTCAAGGGAATGTTCTTATTCTGGCATTAGGAAATTAAACCAGAAAACACTGCCCAAGTAAGATCTAAATGATTCCTGGCTTATGGTAGTAAATTTTATCGTAAAGTTTGTTCAAAACAATCCTTCTAACACAGCCAAAATACCAACTTCTTGAAAATCAAGATTTATCCTTTGATAAATCAATTTATTTATTTGATAAATCAATTGATAAAATCAATTTATCCTTTGACTTCTTCCATCTGTTGTCTCTTTCTATCCTGCCAAATAAACACTCTTACTCTTTGCTGGGCCAGCCAATTGATGTAAGGAGAGAATGAACTGCTTTGAAGACCTGGAGATACAATTTGATTGCCTACCTTATTTGCCATCTTCTGTCTTTCCCTGGAAAGGATTATTACCCACAGCCACTATGCTTTTCCAGCTGAATTATCAAACTCCTACAAATTCACTTATTTTTCCCTTCTCCTTAGCCACCATGAGAGGTTTTGGCTAGGTTACTGTTTTACCTGTTGGCAAAAGGGATAAGCAGAGCTCTAGTGAATAAAGAAATCTTGGTTTAAAATACAAATTGGAAACTTGGAACCATGTTGTATTTATAGTAAAATCTAACCATGTTTTATTCAAAGAAAAGTAAGATAACTTGATGAAAGAATTCCACCAAATGCTGTTCTCAGCTGGCTGGTGAACAAAAAAACAAAGTCAAAAGGCCCAAAAACTGGCTTGTGCTGTACCAAGGACAACCCCATACACACTCTAGAACACAGGAGCTGGTCTGCAGAAGTAGAACACATTGAAACAGAATTAAGTGGAACCTCCACCAGTCACTCTTGAAAACAGACTCAAGCACTTCCCAGGCAACTGCATCAATTGCTGGTAGTGCATTTTCTATGTGCAGATAGTTACCCACACAAAAAGCATCTCAGATTTGCTTATTCACATTGAACTGTAGCCTTCTTTTCTTGGGAACGTTTTAAAAGCCTCTTAGCCAGAAGGATAAAGGTATTGCAAAAAATAGCCTTTTTCTACATACAAATTGACAATATCGGACCATCAGTTAAAACCAGTTTTGAACATTTAATAAAAACTCATCCTAGAAATCCAACTTTCTGCCGCGACGTCCCCAAACTCTCTTCTTCATCCAGAATCTTCTGAAGGGCCACGTGCAACGCCTTGCCTACTTTCTTCCCCGTCTGCAATGCAAAAGCAGCAAACCGCATCTGAGACATATGCTTATTAACAGGAAGACAACTCTCACAGAACACTTCCTTTTGACAAATAGTTTCCCTTTAATGATTCATACGCACCAGCTGGTGTAATAAAAATATGCTTTTAATTAAGAAAAATAATGGCAGTGGAAGCTTCATTTTAAATTGATTCAGATTCAGAAAAATCTACACATAAAAGCAGTGCTCACACTGATCAGAAAAGTGTTCCCTGATCATTAATATTGGATCTGTGCAGTGCCTGATCACCCAGGAATACAAATTAAATTCACATCAAGCACAAGCACACATTCCAGCTAGGCAGCCCATGTGGAGGACTTGGGGGTGCTGATCAATGAGAAACTGAACATAAGCCACTTCAGTGTGCACCTGAGCCCAGAAATCCCCCATCTGCTAGGCTGCATCAAAAGCAGCGTGAGCAGCAGGTCAAAGGAGGTGATCCTGCCCCTCTGCTCTGCTCTTGTGAGACCCCACTTGCAGCACTGTGTGCAGCTCTGGTGTCCTCAGCATAAGAAGGACAGGGAGCTTTTGGAGCAAGTCCAGAGGAGGCCACGAGGATGATACGGGGCTGGAGCACCTCTGGTATGAAGATAGGCTGAGAACATTGGGGCTGTTCCGCCTGGAGAAGAGAAGCTGCGTGGAAACCTCAGAGCAGCTTCCAGTGTCTGAAGGGGGCTACAAGGATGCTGGAGAGGGACTCTTCATCAGGGACTGTAGGGACAGGACAAGGGGTGATGGGTTCAAACTGAAACAGGGGAAGTTCAGGTTAGATATAAGGAAGAAGCTCTTCCCTGTGAAGGTGGTGAGGATTAGCTCCAATACCAGCCTCTTCCCACATACACGTACTGTGGAAGCTACACGGTAAGGAACCATTGGGCAATGCAGAAATAAAGATCTTATGGCAGTGCTATTAGCCCTTTCCAAGGGTTTCCCCAAATGTCCTGAAATAGTGACTCCATACAGAGATGAAGAGCCCTGCTCTCCCTAAAGAGCCACAGATTAAACTAAATCTGCGTTTATTAGCTCCTTATGTATGCAACAAAGCCTGTGCCTGCCATACAAATGACCACAAAGCTCTGTGTCACCTCTTGATGACAGCTGCCAACACCATGAGCACATAGACCTTAAAGTAAGGTACACCTCTCATCGAAGAACTAGGTGACAGAATATGGCCCAGAACATAGCCCAGACTTTGGACAGATTACAGCCAAAGGAAATATGACAAGAGCTTTGATGCAGCTGGGTAGCTGCCTATCCTAAACACTCTTGAGTCATGCTAAATAAAGGGGAGAACATGGAAGCACTGCTACAGCTCTGCACTGGGACAATGATCACAACAGCAGTTTGGAGTCCTGAGAGGTGATACACTTTGTGCATTCTTCTCCTCAAAGGCAGGACAACATCACTCACCCCAGGTCAAAGTGAATGGGGACTGTGCAGAGCTTTGGTACTGACACAATGCTGTTGCCATCTTATTCCTGCTTGCCTCCCTTATGGCTTGGATCATGAACTTAGTAATGCTGTCAGCTTCCCAAACTTTCCCATGAAGCTGCCTTCCTAAGAGATTCGTCCTAGAACATCTGTTCACCACCAGACAGGGAGGGCTGAACACCCTCTGACGTGCAGCCAAATCCTTACAGAATGGAGGTGTCAAGCAAGGGTTACACAGCTCCTCCACTGGACGTTCCCAGGCCTTTTTGTTTTTCTTGGTATCCTAACCAGGATGCTGAGTTTGAGGCAGGGCCAAACAGATGATGTTTGACCTCCCAGAAAGCATCTTGTTTTATCCCTTACTCCTTCAAGCTGCTCACTACTCAGGAGGGAAGACTTCTTCCAAAGTGAGAGACATCACAACTCAGCTTAAGGTTCTAACTCCTTGCACCAGAGGTAGGGACAAGTTAACTAAAGCTCTCCAGCAGAGTAGGGCAGTTTCTAGATTTCCCATCTGATCAATGTTTAGACGAGCATCACAGAATCCCAAGCACAGCCTTTGGGGGCAGGCTACACAAGGGAACTGCACAAGTTTATTTCCTATTTAGGGCTCAGTACAGAGCAAAATTAGTAATCAGTTGGCTCTGACCAAAGCAGCCATCTCAACCTCAAGTCTTCCATGACACCGAGTTAGAATTGGATTTGAAATCCATTAAGGAAGTGAAATCAGATGTCCATGGGCAGTTTGGTTTCTTTAGGATGTCAGACTAGTGATAACAACTCTACCAAGCTAAAGGGGTGACATCTCTGAATGCAAATAAAAAGCCCACTGGTACTACCAAGATTAGCACTCTGATCTCAGGGAACAGTTGAAGTGCCACATATACTCGGCATGTAATTTCCACTTGAGATCAATTGTTTTCAAACTTGGTCCAATTTCTGCATTCCTCAATGCAGCCACGCTGAAACTAGTTCTGGATTTTAGGAAACAGAGCCAGTTTGAAGTGCTTAGTTTTCATTCTTACTCCAAGTTCAAACCCCACTTCTGTCTCATGTTCAAGGCCAAATATGAGAATTTATACTGGATAACAGACTCAAAAAGAGCCAGAAAAAAAGGTTTAAAATGGAATTCTTATGTGGATGTGAACAATATCCACGTACTAATACTTTCATGGAGTGGGGGCGGATTAGAAACACAGTAAAGGAGCAAACAAAAACAACAGTAAAATGAGAACAGTAAGTTTATCACAAAAAAAAATGAGTTGTGCTAGGAGAGAACACCATGCACTGACAATTCAAAGTACCACCCTACTCTATAGAGACTACTTCTATAGAGCCTTCACCATGTTAGAAGTTTTGCTCTTTCCGTCTTAAGGGAAACAATGAGAGAGGGAACATGCTCTTTAAAAATGCTCTCAAAGTTTAACAGCTTAAGCTTTACAGTCTTACAGCTGTGAAGTACTTATCTGAAACAAATGTGAGCACCATACATTTCAGGTATCTAAAAGTTCTGGCTAACATCCATTCATAGTAGATTCTGTTTCACAGGGTCTGTGACCTTCAGCATGGCCCTTGTGCACTTAATCAAAGCATAAAGATCTCTGCTCTTTAAGGCCTTGCTGCAGCTTTTCATATACACAAGTTCCAGTTCTTCCAAGACAGTAACTGCTCAAAACTTACCTCCATCATTTCAAAGATACTCTCAGGATCCAGGCTGCCTCTCCCCACTTTCTTTATAGAAGTCAGAGCACCTTTACTGGTCACAGAAACAAGCAGGCTAGCCAAAGAACAGGCTTCTTCCTCAAGGGTAGCATCCACCACATGCCTATAGCCAATCTGTTAGTGACAAAATGACACAGACGATTAGTTTGCAATTGTCTAAGCTCTTTATTAAGATATTAAACTGTGAGTGGTAGCTCTGTTATCGGTAGCCTCCCACCCTAGTACCATGTGGCCTCTAGTAACTGTCAGAGATTGACTTGACAGCAGAGTATTTAAACAGCCTCTGACCTCAAACTGTGTGTACATAGGTAAGAGAGGTGAGATAAGCACGTACTATTTCATACTGGTTTTCAATCTGACCATCCTTTCATCTATTCCTTTTCTCCCCCAACTCCAAGCACAGACTTTCCTCCCCTTTAAATGAAAACTGTACAGCCTAACACCCAGGTGAGCCCTCACTTCAGTGATGGCTTTTCTACTATATAGACAGCTTCCTTAAAAGAAACGTCAGACAAACTTTCAGGTAACTAAGCAGATGGCTCACTCTTGCAATGGAAAATGCAGCATCCAGCAAACCAACTGTATTAGCTGTGTGCTATGTATGGAGAAGGAAAACAAAACCAGGTTGGACGAGGTCTTGGGTGAGATGGTCTAGTGTGAGGTGTCCCTGCCCATGGCAGGGGGGTTGGAACTTGATGATCTTAAGGTCCTTTCCAACCCTAACTATTCTATGATTCTATGATAGTATTGCACCCATGAAAATGGAGTTCTCTCCCCAGAAACAAACACTCGTCATGTAACTCCAGGCAGATCACACAACCTCTGCCCCTCACAACAATGACTATTTGTTTTACCATACTGGAGGATCTGCTGCTCTGGGTGTTGAGCAAGAATTAGATGAAAAATAATAAACAATTCTTCTGCATGCAAGAAGATGCATCAAGTAAAAACTGCAAATCTCTGACTGCAAGTCAGAGATGTGGAAAAATAAAACCTTATTCAGTTCTTCTTAATTAGGAAGCTCAAGACGAACAAATACATACACAGTGCACACTGACTGCATCTGTAATACAAGTTTTATCTCCAGGGAGAAAAATAAACAGCAGGTGAAGTTAACAGAACCTGTAGGTCAGGAATTTGTTAGGCTTACTTTGCTTAATGTGACAATTAAGGGCACATTCTCCACATTAAGTCGAATGCAATCGTAAGGGTCATCAGACAGCTCAATCTCTTTAGAGCCTTCTTCATCCTCCAGAACACGCACTTTGGGTATTCTGTGGAAACAAAACGTGCACAATCATTGCCAGAACAGGTAAGGAATGTGGTTGTCACACATCTCAACTCCAGGAAGTGCCCTTTCCTCTAAATGAGGCTAAATGTTTAGGAAAAAAATCCAGAAAGTTATCAAAGTATTAACAACTCAAACCCTGAGAATAGGAAGAAAACATTGGAAGGGGGAAGATCTCTAGGATAAGAGCATCAGATTTACATCAGTCAAACCTTTGGAATATGAAGTGGGTTTTATGCTAATATATGGGGAAATATATGATGCACAAATCAATTCTGAACAATTCTTTATCCATCTACCTGGATGTACAAGACAGAAATTACCACGATTGAATCCTTTCATACTGTGGATCCCAGCCTTGCAGACAACAGTAAAGTTGTCAGAATTACAGCAATTGCCCTGCTTGCCAAAGCTGTGACGTCAATAGCAAATGCAACTAGTGAAGCTGTTCAGGAAAGAAAGACACTAACTAAGGAGACTTGGGCTAAAGGGAAAAGATAACATTAGTAATATCCTACTTCTTTAAAGAGATGGGAAGACTGGCAACATAGAATTCTCATTCTTTAAGAGGCATAGACTCTACTGTTCTAAGGACAGATATAGGCAATAACCAGGGCTAAAAACCCAGGCAGAAATCCAAGAGATGCTTTTCCTTTCAACTGTGAGTGATGAGCTCTTGTGCAAACGAGCTTGTCAAGACTCCTTCCCAGTGGTACATATATTGTATTGGTGATAGCCATTTAACGGGAGTTTTATAGGATGATTTAATGCAGCTTTCTAGCATAATGAGTAAAGTAATTTAAACCAATTTACTACAAGATGGTATCTCAAGTAGCCAAGAATGTCAGCATCTCATATACTCTCATTTATCCAGGTGCTCACTAGGATGAAGTACTGACTGAGAGACTTGGCTGTACCAGCCAGTAAAACCTCCACGCCACAATACTCTCACTCTTACACATTTGCACTTGCAAACAGAATGTATTTCAAGCCATCCCTAGGAAGCTAACTTCAGTAACCATGTGGAATGTAACCACAGTCTGGTTTCATATTAGTACTTTTACAGTTGTGCTGTGTTTTAGAACTACACTCTGGAGGTTACATTGGTTTACGCATTCTGTATCAAATCTCTTTTAAAGGAGGAGGAGGCAGGGACTGATTTAGTGAACATTCCCCCCCCCAACACAGAGTGGTTTTTTGCTGTTCCCTGGAAGAGCATTTTAGCTATTTGTTGCTCAAAGTCCTAGAGGCAAGTACTTCATAACAGCTAAGCCTGCCTCGGTGAGAACAAATTGCCTACAAGCCTGAGCCAAGCTAAAACTATAACTTTCAGTAAGCAGAACAACTCTAATGTGTTCTTTTTCCTGAAATGAAACTCAGAATGCTTTGAAGCTCATTGGAAATGCATCAAAGCCTATTTTCAAGTTTAAAATACCCCATTAAAACCTGATGAAATAAAGTCACAAGTTGACTAGCCCTCAAGCTGCCCAGAACAATGGACAACATTGGACAACAGCCTAGACAAGAAGTAGATATGCCAGAGCAGCATTTAAAAAAAGAAGGAATATTTCAGGAAAACCTCAGAGATCAAGCAATTTTTAACTCCATCCTAAACCAGCTGTGAAACCAGAACAATGTTTGGTGTGCAAGAAAAAGTTGCCAGAATTAATACCTGAAAAAAGCCTGCAAGGAGCTGTTTGGCCAAGAACAGATGAAAGAACTACAAATTTGAACTACTACAGAAGCAAAAAGACAAATGATCCAACACAAGTATCACAGTTACATAAAAAGGGGGGGTATATATACACATAAAAACTAGGCAGAGAGTGTAGCACAAAGCACTTCCAGAAGACAGATTTTCTCTCCCAGCTTCTGAAGATCTCCCTTAAGAACCAGCTGTACACATTTACTTGGCAAACGATGGCAACGGAGCTGGTGCAGGGCCTAGAGCACAAATGTGATGGGGAATGGCTGAGGGACCTGGGGGGTTCAGTCTGGAGAAGAGAAGGCTCAGGGGGACCTGATCGCTGCCTGCAACTGCCTGAGAGGAGGTTGTAGTGAGGTGGGGTCGGTCTCTGCTCCCAAGGAACAAGGGACAGGACAAGAGGAAACGGCCTCAAGCTGCACCAGGGCAGGTTTAGATGGAGCTGAGGAACAATTCCTTCCCCAGAGGGTGCTCAGGCATTGGAACAGGCTGCCCAGGGCAGGGCTGCAGTCACCGTCCCTGCAAGTGTTCACACAGCGTGGAGACGAGGCCTCAGTGCCATGGGTTAGTGGTGGCCTTGGCAGCGCTGGGGAACGGTTGGACTTGATGATCTTGAAGGTCTTTTCCAACCTGGTTGATGCTGATTCTGTTTAGTTTTCTATTTTGATTCCTGCAACTAATTAGGGCAGAAATCTGTACAGCAGGACTTATGTCACATAACGAACACTGCAGACCCAGGTTTCACAACTATAAAACCAGTTCTCCTTTTGGAAGTAGGCATCAGTTCTGCTTCTACCATGCTGCCTGGCAAAAAAACATTACATCTGAGAAGCTATTGTGTTAGAAACTCTAGCTTTTGTAACTTTCTTGCTTTCTGTTGCCTTGGTTGCAAGTAAGCACATTCCACAGGATCAAGATTAATGCTAAATCCTAACTTAGCTACTTGCACATTTTGCAATATCTGGCAGATAAATCTAGCCTCAAGCACCTTGGAGACACAGAAAAGAAGAAAGCTTAGTATCTGCTAACTTTTGCATGTGATCCTGAAATGTATTTTTTTAGAACACAATGAACAATACAAAACTTCGAGAAGTAAATGTTTCCCCCAAAACAGTCATATCTGTTGTAGACAGATTATGAAAGGCAAGTAAGTCTCAGAAGCAAACACATGTGAAATCCAGAACACTTAATCTGAAGTGATCTTCAATCTGACATCTTGTCTTGCTTGGACAGTAATATTTCATGGAGAGTGGGCAGCTACTTTAAGCAACCTTGTGTCAATCCAAACAAAACTTAGTAGGTACCAAGGGAAAGGGAGCAAGACAATGAACGAGCACAACAGGTTTTCACTTCGAATTTCACCCCTTGACTTTCCGAGGTCATATGAGATGAGATGTACTAGCATTCCCTGCTCACACCAACAGACAGGATTTATACAGGTAAAAAATCAACAGGCTCTGCGCTGTGTCACATTGTACCACATTCTGATTTGATACCTTCCAAAAGACACTGGATGCTTGCCCACAGATCAGATTATATGAAGGCTACAGTTGTCAGAAGAATGAAAATAAAAGAGAATCATGAAAATAATTTCTGGGAACATGTTGCCCATGTTCCCAAGGCAACAGGTTTTCTTCATTTATTTAATTACTTTCATATGATACCCTCTCTTTATTCAGAACTAGGATTCTGGCTGACATAAGGAAAAAAAGACTTATTTATCTTGTAAATAAAGCACATGCCTTGGATCTGCAAAACAACTCACATGGGAGCAACTATTTTTACTGTATGACTTTTGCATCCTGGCAGCTCACACAGACACACGCATTTCTACCTTTCAGTGCATTGTCAACCATGTTGTTGACAGTGAAAAGTTACTGTTGAGAACTTGATTAACATGGGAAATTTCTCACCAATGTACACAAGCTGTAGCCTCGGATGGATTCTCCCTTATTCCCTTTTAAAGTGTTTCTAACCTGATATACTGCCTGCCTTCAAAGATGTCTTTCCCTCTTCTTGCATGTATTTTTCCAGCTCTAGTACCGTGTGCTGAGTCCCTGATGAATAAGCCAAAACTATACCAGTGACTTCAGAAAATCTTTAGTTTACAGCTGAAGAACCATTTGAAAACACTTCCAAACCAATACATATTATTGAATACTATATTATTGAATGTTCTCAATATAGATATTAAAAATGTTATTGAATGTTTTCATTAACACACACAGAGAGCACTTGCATCATTCATTCTACCAGATTTTCTTTCATTCTCTGTATTAAAATGCCTGGGGTTCTTTTAAAGACAAATCATTTCCCTCTCCTCACAATCTCTCGCTACCTTTTTTTCCTCTTAGTTTTAAAAGAACTCTAGACTAACAGTTAATGAGAAAGAACATCAGAAGTGAGAAATCACACTTTTTACAGCTACAAATCACACCTTTTTTTTTAGTTACAAATGAGTAGTCACACTGACAGAGGGCTTCTTACTCAGGAGCATCACACATCAGTAAATCCTTCTTGTTTTAAACCTACAAGGCATCCACACAAAGGCCTCCAATGACTTGCAACTAAACCATATGGTCAAAGACAATTTTTGGTGGATCTGGGTACAGATATATACAGTTATACTGTGAGCCTAATTGTGCATATAATGTAATATAACACTCGATTCAGTTTCTAATAACATCAGGTCCTGTTACTTGCATGCAAATGGACTGCCTTGTATCTGAATAAAAGTTGCCTTCTGTATTTCTTATTTAAAGACTTAAGCATCAAAAATTATTAGCTCACAGAGTAAGTGATTAGCTCTTCCCCTTCCCATGACACTTCCATTCACATGAAAGGAGATCTGTGCTTTACCTTGTGTTAAAGAGAGCTGCCTTCACTGCGATAGAGATTGCATCAAAGAGGTTCCCACCACATACCAATAACTGGGGAAGAAAAAAAGAGTCTCTTTAAAAGAAAATCAGGCTAGTGCCTTTAAACCAAGTCTTTATTTTACTTCAGCCTACTTGAAAAAGGCACAAAATTAAGAACCAGAGCAGATTTTGAATACACAAAGTTGTCTTTAAAGCCTGTCTATGAAAAGAAACAGATAGGAAACTGAGATTTCAGCTAACTGTATTACACATGCAAAATAGAAGAGTTAATGCACTTCATAATAAAATTCATGATAAAATTTAATAATAGAAGCTGAAATGAAACCACTGCTGTTCTTACTCTTCTTGTGCTAAGGCTCTGAATTAGACTATGACCAGAATACTTGTTATCAACCAACCACATTCATTCTTTAATGTTAAATCAAGCCAATCCACTTTCTGTCTTTATTTCAAAGAGGAATAGTTTTAAAATATCAACTGGAAAACCCAATTGGTAGAATTGTTTCTGAAGAAGCAATGCAAATTGTCACCCACAACATGGCATTAAAAAAAAACAGATACTGAAGGTCTAGTTAGGGTGGCACATGATGATTTATCCTCTATTCTTTATGGAAATGGAGTCATCAGCAGGTTTGCCTTGCAGCTGAAAAAGATGTCACGTTCTTCTTGTTGGTAACACTGTCATTTGAATCAAAGTGTGGAGGCCAGCTTCTTCTTATGAAGATCAGGAAAAGAACAAAGAGAACAGTAGCACTGCACACTAGAGAAGAATGCAGGGCTCCCATAACCACTAATAGCATCTCTAGGCTGACTTATACCTCAAAGATGTATGTAGCCATAGCCTAGTGCTGGATCTCTGCAAAGCTCCACTCTCAGCTGCCAGTACTAGTCTACAAACACGCAGACATCCCCACCAAGTATTTGAGACTACTTCAGCAAGAAGATACAGGTGCTTCTACATTACATCAAGCTATGCTGTCTGAGAGCAAAACCAGCTTTGCAACATTGATTGCATTGACTGATCTTCAAAATCTGCTTAAGGGGGGTTGGAACTAGATGATCTTAAGGTCCTTTCCAACCCTAACTATTCTATGATTCTATGATTCTAAGAATGAGATAAGCTCCCGTGCTGGGAGCAAATCACAAATCAGGTATTCTGGAAAGACAGTTTATTTTTATGAATACAGACTGAACTGTGTAAAAAGAATGACAAAAAGTTGGGACAGAAAACTAAATACAAAGGTGATCAGATTATTTCTCTGCAAACAGCTGCAGGATACAGAGAGGTTAACTTGCCACTTTCAGTTATTACTGGATTTTACTGGCTAAAACAATAAGCCCCACAGTATCTTTGTTATTAAAACACAATCATGGGATGTGCCTGCACTGTTGCTAGGCTTATGTTCAGGCTACTGTTCTAAAGCCTCATTTGTATTACAGTGGCACCTACAGGCTAAGAACACAGCCTGTATCAAGCATGGTTATGACCATTCCTCCAAGAAGTGAACACTCTCTTCTCAGCTGAAGCATCTTGTACTGAGAGCCCACACTTCTTTAATGTATTCTTTTTAAGAGCTAAGAAAATATGCACAACCGTGAGTTACAGGAAGCAAAGGAGTCTTTAGAAGATTGCTTTTAATTTACTGATATGCAAATGAAAACATTAGTTGGGATAGGGAAAAAAAGGAAACATTCTAGATCTTGCCTTATTCTAAGAAGCTTCTCCTCCAAAAGGACAAATTTCTAATAGTCTTTTTCCCAACTGGGAGGAAATAGAAAAGATGAGGAAATTCTCTAAGGGATGCTCAGTAGTGAACTGCTAAAATTCCAACTAAACCTAAGGCAACCCCTCAACACACAATGTACTGTGACTGGGTACGGAATGAAGAGATGGAGAGATTGCACACTTTGATTTTCCTTGTGCAGCACAGCAAGCTGCTGGGGCAAATTACATGGAGAAGGCTACATATATATATATATATATATATAAAGATATTTTATATATTTCTATATATCACATCATCAAAAATGCCTAAAAGCTTATCTCTGACATCACTGGCTTAGAAGGGAAAAGAAATTGAAGGAAAGACAGAGAGGGGGAGAACATACTTAAGAGTTTTGCAGTACTGTGTATGTCCACATTCATGAGCTGTTCTTTGGAAGTGGAATGCCTTCTATTATTAAGACTGAATGCATTTTGAAAGGTCAAGGTATATATTCTTGACCTCTGATACATGTGTCCTTATGGCTGCATCTTTGGGATGTCTATAGTTGAAGTTATTTTCTTTCCAGTTTGACTGTACACAGTCATAGCAACTCCCAAGTACACTGACAGCCAGACAATATTTGAGAGATACTTTCAACTGATAAGGCTGTGCAAAAGACACTCTTTTCTGAGGTTTCATATCTCAAGTTACATTCTTTGTGTGGTTTTGCCCTCTGGAATAAGAGGCCTGAAACCAAGTACCTTGCCACCTGACCACAAAGTACCAGGATTTTCAGGCTTATGACAGATTTAAGGCTTAAACTCCTTAAACTCCAACTTAAGTACACAACACAAACATCAATGTGAAGAATTTCAAGGAATTCTGAGGGAAAACACCATCAAAGGATTCAATAAGCATTGTTACATTTAGAATCTGCCTCCCTTAAATGCTGAATGATTTGTGTCTTACATCAGCGTGTCATACTTTCACCATGTACTATTAAAAATAGAATTCTATAGGAATGATTCAGCAATGGCAACTTCTCTACTTGCATCAAGTATACTTTATCACAGCTGATATATATTCCTTTAGCAAATGAAATAGTGCAGAAACCTCAAAAATGTGAAAATAGAGAGGCCCAGGGTAGAAGGGTACCAGCAGCTCCTCGATGGCTCACACACAAATCCCTGCAGAATATGACATTAAAAAAACTCAGTGTTTAGAGTCCTAATTATGAACCTACAAAGTTTCTTTACTGACACTGTCAACAAAGCTAAATGTAAAATTCATCACATAACTTAGGTCTTGACATTCATGGCCAAGTTGGATAGAGAGCTTTGGGCAACATGGTCTAGTGCAAGCTGTCCCTACCCACGGGAGGGGGTTGGAACTGCATGATCTTAAGGTCCTTTCCAACCCAAACCATTCTATGATTCAACTAGCAGCATTAAAATACCAAGACTTTTTTTCTCTGTAGCTGTGGATAATCAACAAATTTGCACAGGAAGAATGAAATACTGACCAGTTATACAAAATCTATACAGAACTACTTCTGCAGCAGTCAGCTTTATAGAAGTCTTTGTTTATGCAGGGTTTATGCAATGTTAAGCAATGTGTTCCTTAAATAAGCACAGCATTTAATATTCTGTACCTCTGCTTGTAATCACCTAGTAACTAAAGGCCTCGGTGTGATTTCCCAGAACTAACACTTCATTCTCTATTAAACTATGCCAAGCTCCCAATAAGCCAGTGACTAGAACTGTTAAAGCACTCAGCAGTGGTACATATTTGATCATTCTGTATGTGCATTAAGTCACACATGGTGGTCTGCACCATATCTACTATAATTAGGCTAATGCTACTGCTTTTAAACACCTAATGGACTAGTTTTCACATCCATTTACATCTTAGTCTAAACATACCTGTTTTGTTAAACAAAACCCAGTGTTTCTTTTTCCAATACAGCTTAGCATTCTGCAAATCATTTCATAGATGTTAATGGATTCCTGTGAAAAAAATCCCTCAACATATTTTCAGTTACAAATTTGAGAAACAGAAACTCAAATTTGGACTGATAAGACTTGGCAATAATGCTCAGGAGAGTCTGACTTGCAGACTTCTATTAAATTTCCATGACAGAGTACTTTAGATACAGCACAGTTTGGAAATTAAGCTGCTGCATGCACAAGATTTATATGCATAACATTCAGGTTCCATTTTTTAAATGAGAACAAATACTCAGCTTCTCTTCTACATTCAACACATGCATGAAACTTCCACCAGAAAGTGCCTAGACCAAATGCTAACTTCTGCCAAAAAAGTTTCTATTGCACTTCATGGAATTACCACTGATAGTAGTGCAAGGAGGTGGAGAGGATGGACGATTATGTTAGGGCTAACATACACCCATGCTAAATTACACCCATTGGAACAATACATTTGCTGTTCTATCTAGCTTGGAAAACAGTTCAGCTTTCTTTAGTGGCAATTTCCTTGTCAGTTTAAGATTACTGATTTTTATGAGACAGATCTGGAGTATTCAGTAGTTTATTAGCTCTGCAGTGGAGCAGCAGCATTAAGAAAAGAATAAAAGAGCAAGCTAGAAGTAGTGATTATATCTAGAATCAAAAGAAAATGGCCATCCATGCTGTGAAGCATTATATCATAATATGACTTTTTATATGAAAATATACATGGTTATGACAAGTCAATCAGTGCTCTGAAAAACCCCCTTCAATCTTAGTTTTCATTCCCTTACTTACCAACACATCAACGTAGAGAACCCAGCAGTGCTCTCTGGGATTAATACAAAGTGATTTCAAGTCTACACTGTTCTCGCTGCTAAATACTGTGTAGAATGTACTTGTTATCTCTGTGCCAAGCTCTTCTCCTCCCCGGCCTTCAAATTCAGGAGTAGCATTTGCAGAACTAGATAAAGAAAGAAAACATACTTTCACTTCTGAAGCAGCCAATATGCAAAGAACATTCTTTAAATATAAAACATTAGACATATCTAAGGATTTCTTTGTATAATAAGCACCCTATCTGTGAGGAAATTGTTTCTATTTTCCATAAGAAAATGTCTTGAGGCAGATAATATACCTACATTTTGCTACAAACTCTGATGCTAATTAAATTCCACTATCTTCAGTTTAGGTTACAATATTGAAGTTAGTGAATCCTCTCAGGGATTATTTCTTAAGCACTGTCATCTTCTATCACCTCAGCCCTTTCAAAAATAAAGAAGTGAGAGAAACCTGGATGAAGTTCAGAACAGCTAACAAGACAGCCTGTTAGAGCTGAATGTTAAATTAATAAGAGGGTGGCTAAGAGGAGAAAGATGTGATGATGTGACAAGTAGGACATGCTTTATTTTCCAAGCTCCATGACTGCCTGACCTTAAATGGTAATTTCTTTACCAAGTGTACTCTCTGCTATCAAGCTCATTATTTTCAGCAACTGCAGCTTAGGGAGAGCAGCAACAAAAACCATTTTTTCCAGAAGGGATCTGGCAAAAGTGAGTGCTTTTCACTTCCCTGATTCCAACATAATAACAAACTTTGTTTATGAGCAGTCATGCAAGAAAGTCCTTCAGTGCTGGGCCTTGTACATCGCTAAGAGCAAAACAGAACAATTAACAATAAAAGACAACAGGCCTATAAAACAAAGTTTCCATCACCAAGTCACAGTGCAATAGAGCAGAAATGTGCAGACGTGCATATATAGCAAGCTAACAAATATTTGGAACTCAACCTCTGATTTATAGCGAGGGCAAAAGCATTCTCAAGCAGTGGACCCATGACACAGACGGCAGATCCTGGTTTTAAATAAACTGGTCAGACCTCCCCAGATCAATTTCTCATTACAGAACATAGGAAAGGTGGTTATTCCATAGGAGTAGCTATGATTGGTTTAAAATCTAGAACAGCAAAGCCTTGTATTCTCCTGGCTGGGCACCTCCCAGTGGCAGTTTCTCATGTACATTTTCTGTATACATGATGATACACAGTTTTAGCTCTTCCAACAGGCACGCTGCAGGAACACACACATAGAGCATAAAACAAAGTCTTAGAATATAATCCCTTAAAAAAAAAAAAAAATCACAAGTAAAGATCCACATTACCTAGGTATGACTTAAACCATCACATGAACTGTATCAACAAGACTGGGTTTAAACTTTAACAGGGGAAGTTCAGGTTAGATATAGGGAAGAAGCTCTTCCTGGAGGGTGCTGGCACAGGGTGCCCAGAGAAGCTGTGGCTGCCCCATCCCTGGCAGTGTTCACGGCCAGGCTGGACAGGGCTTGGAGCAACCTGCTCTAGTGTGAGGTGTCCCTGCCTATGGCAGGGGTTTGGAACTGGATGATCTTATGGTCCTTTCCAACCCAAACCTTCCTATGAGTCTATGTCTGCAGAGCCTATAAGATTACATATATAATTACCTATTATTATTCTTACCTCAGAGTATTTCTCCCAACTTGTTCTTTTGCAGAACTGATGAAAACTCAGAATGCCAAGAAAAGCTACTGGATTTTACAGAAATTATATGCTGCTACTATAAACAGACAACACTATACATGCTTTTTAAACAAATAAATTACCACCGATCAACCACTGATCTGTGCTTCCAGACAACACTTGCAACCCAAATAGGCATTACAAGTGTGACATACAATATCAGACACCAATTTTATAAGACAGAACCATATCTAAGTATAAGTTAATTCTGGAAGCATGCCCAGTCAGGTCTTCAGGTTGCATTAAACAAGCACTTACCCATAGAAGTAGCTTTATTCTGTTTAACCATTCTGTTTAAAGTACAGTTACACAAGCATTATGATTCCTATAAGCTGAAAAGAATTATACAAACCTCAAGCTATACCTCATTATTATCTCTGAACAGAAATAAGCAAAGTTATATCAGAAGTTGTATTTTTTAATTATAAAGAGATGATTTCTTTGACAGTTAGAAGGAAGAACATAAGACTCAACTGGAATATCACTGCAAATGCATCTTAATTCCATTATCCTTTTAACACTTCAGTTCCTTGCAATCCAAGTGATATAAAAAAGGAGGGTACTATTATATTAACTATATGGTAAATACTGCCACCTAATGCTGACAGACTCTTGCAGTAATTTACACTGGGTAAGTCTAACACGCTAGTAAGAGAAAAAGACAAAACATTTGTTTTATGGAGCACAGAAAGAACTTAGTAGCGGCCAGACAGAGCACAGAATTTCTGCTCCCACACAGAATGTAATTTTAAATACTTTCAAAACCATTTCAGCATCACACTGCATAACAATTAGAGATTCTTCAAGCATAATAATGTTTCTATCACAGATCTCCACTGAATTTCAAAACTGATGCTGTTACAGCCAAAATCTTCCTCTTATGGTAGTTAAGCACTCCCCATTTGTTGCTCAGGACATTAGAGAATCACAGGATCAATCATTAAGGCTGGAAGGGACCTCTGGAAATCACCTAGTCCAACCTCTGCCAAGGCAGGTTACAGAAGAACATATCCAGAAGGGTTTGGAATGTCTCCAGAGACAGAGACTCCACAACCCCACTGGGCAGCCTGCTCCAGGGCTCTGCCACCCTGAGTGTAAAAAAGTTCTTCCTCATGTTGAAGTGAAACTTGTGTTTCAGTTTATGGCCACTGTTTCTTGTCCTGTTACTGGGTATCACTGGAAAGTCTGGCACCATCCTCCTGGCATCCACCTCTGAAATACTGATCTGCATTGACTGGGATCCCCTCAGTCTGCTCTTCTCTGGACTAACCAGGCCCAGCTCCTGCAATCTCTCCTCAGAAGACAGATGCTCCAGACCCCTGATCATCCTTATGGCCTCTGCTGGACCCTCTCCAGTACCTCCTCACCTTCTTTGTACCGAGGAGGCCAGAACTGGACACCGTGCTCTGGATGAGGCCTCAACAGGTTGAGTAGAGAAGGAAGATCACCCCCCTGACCTGCTGGCCACACTCCCCCTGATGCAGAGAGATGGGGAAACAGAAGCTGTCAGGTCACTGTCTGAAGAGAGCAGTCAGGTAATCCAATTTACCCTCATGAAAAACATTCTTTACTATATTCAAGTCAACTTTGTTAAGATATCATTAAGCATCAGCCTGAGGTATGTCATTACTAAAAAAACAGGAAAAAATCTATCTTTTGGGTAGGAGAGGGTTAGAAAAATATGAGAACACACACAATTTAAATAGCTCTTGTTCAATCAAATAATATGGCATTAAAAAAAACATTGAGGAGATGATGTTGATCATTCTCAACTAAGGTGATATCAGCTGTACCCATCTCATTCCTCATGGAAGTCAGCCCAACCTTTGACCTCTGCAGCAACTTTCAATCACTATTAACATAAGAAATGAGTGTTTCCAACATGCACTATCAGTCTCCTTTGCTGAGTTTTAACCCCATTTTTTCTGGTTCTACCCATAGAAGACACGGGGAACGTGTTCTGTATCTCTCTGTAGCAGCCTTAACATATTTGAAGATTATTGTCATGCCTCTCTTCAGTTGTCTCCCTGCTAAAAGACTGAAATCTCACAGGTTGCATCTTCCAGTCTTCTGATTATTCCTGCTGCTTACTTCTGAAAATATTAAGATACTATAATCTACAAGGTAAGTAACCATAACAGAGATAAAACAGTTAATGGAACAACAGGTTGTAGGTATTTTCCTGGTGTACAAGGGCTTCCTTACACAGAGGATATTCTTCACTTAAACCCATATTTACTTCTATCGACCAATATCAGATTTCTATTTTTCTACTAAAAGAAACATATAATCATTTTAAACAAGAAGGCAGGTTCACTGTTTTAGACTCAGCATTAAGTTACCCACCTCACTAATATTCCTCTCTTCCAGAAATCAGCCACAAAACATGACAGTTATGAAACATCTGAACTGCCAAGACAGTCCCAGAAACAGACCTGAACACAGGTCCAAATGCTGTCTAACGGTGTGGATATCATTAAGGTGATATTCAAGCTCATGAAACTACAAAGAACCAGGCTAACGAGGGTCTGGATTTAGTCCAGTCAAACTGTTAACTCTACCAATATGGATATACTGATTCAGGTCTTTGCCTAGTCAAGCACTGTCACCACACTTCCCATCCAGAAGAACACCTGCTTACAGAGTTTGAAACAGTTTTACTCAAGCCAAGCACAAGATAGTGTTTCCCTCTGAAAGCTGAGCTCAATCCCATTCAGTAGAGAACACATATTTAGTGGATGAATTATCCTAAAAAACTGTAAAGACACTTCTTTCAAAACTCATTAGTTTGCTTCTACAAAGAAAAGTTGCCATGATAATGGGCTTATGGTAGGAGGGAAGAAGAGGAGGAAAGGTTTCTTTTCTGCAGCCACCATTCAAGTGATAACCTTCAGCAACTGCTCTGAAATTTGACATTTTCCCCACAAAACACAATGGAACGGTATCTGAGGATCACCTAAGAGCATGCTGATGTGGTTGTTCTGCAATACTGTCATCTCTTATGATTTGGAGAACCACTTCCCAGCTATCCTTATCTGATCCAGGCTCCCATGCAGGCATCCCAAATAGGCCCACTCTCCCAGCTTCAACAAAAGCATTTCTGGCCTTCAGAGTGGAGAAACAGTTGGCCACACATGGACAAATAAATTCCTTCTTGTCCTAATTCCACAAACAATAACTAATACTCTCAAGGAATTCTGAGGTCTGGTTTTTATTTCTGTTGTTGGCATTTCTCACACTTTGAAAATGATAAATCTTTGCCTCAGTCAAAAAAAGCCAGTATTAGAAGAGCCCCAAAACTCTAACATGACAAAAGCAGGCACAGGAGTCTTTCAACATCAATGACCAGGATGACTGTCTTCTCCAGGGCAGTAAGCACATCTCATAGGACATGGACTACTTGTTCTATGACAATTAGTTTCTAGTATCACAAATCAGTGCCCCAAAAATCACCTCTTCCAGAGGCTTGCATTAAAGTCTGTCTCAAAATGAGACAAAATGTGATTCTAGGTTAAGGACTCAGAGCAGAATGAAGAGAAATGGAATTCTGGGGCACAGAATTATATACATGATCCAGCAAGTGATTATTTTCTGCACTACAAGAAACTGAAAGATTCAGGAAAGAATTTTAAGACAGCAAACACTGCAGTCCAAGTTTTTGTTATTAATTCCAACAATATAAAAGCCAAGCAGAACATAGAGGAATCTCACCAGAAGAATGCAGTGTATCAAACTGTGCTCAGTTACTACCACCCAGTGGCAGCCTAGAAAAGCATCTGAGTACTGACAGCATCCATTTCCCTTTACAGAGAACAAGTTGCTGCCACTTCACATTTTGTCTTTTGGATCTTTCTGGAGGTTAGAAGTCACCTTTCCCTGACAACACAAGTATGAAAGAAGTGACTACCCTTCTTTAAAATACAGGCTTTTGGTCTGTGTTGTCACAAAAAGTAAGGATTACCTATTTCTAGAACTGACAAGATCCATCTTGCACAATATTGCTGCACGTCCCCATCCCATCTTCTCATGGAGCAGAGATTAACAGTTAGAAAATACAATCTAACATTAATCTACTGAGTTCGTTTTTCTAACATTTATTTATGTAAGAAAAGTGTCACAGAATTGCAACATCCCCACAGATCACTTGTTTTAGTAAGGAGATATCCTTGCTGTCAGTGGACTTTCTTCATGTGGAAACCATCAGAAGAAAGCCGGTGCCGCTTAGGATATTTCATATATGAGTGTTATGAAGCAGTCAAGCTCAGATCTCCTCTAACAGCAGGACTACATTTGAGAAGATCATTTTCCTGTCTGATGTTTTTTAAACAGTAATCACAAACAACTAAGTCATAGGCGAGTCCTTCCCTCTACCAGTTTCCAGAGTTAGCTAGGACCTCATGATATATAGAAGCACTCTCAGGTAAGGCTGCATAATGCGAGAGATACAAACGTCAAGGCAGATACAGCTAGTTAGGTCAGAGAGATTATCAGAGATACAGTGTCTTAGCAGCTTAGTAGCTTAGTAACTCTACTAAGTAACTTAGTAGAGTTACTTAGTAGCTCTCATGCCTTAGCTTTACTAATGGTGTATTGGTTTAGCATCAGAGTAGCAACATTTTTGGCTTTAATAAAAAAAAAAACCAAAACATCACATGCAACGAGCTAACTTGACAGTGCCAAGGCTTTTATGAGAGGTTCCAAAGCACCTTGTTTCATGAAAAACAGTTTTAGGAAGTCTGCAAGACATGCATACTGTAGTTTCAGACAGCAGACAGTCTGGAATAACATTGAAATATCACTACGCTACCTCAGAGCAATCTGAAAACAGAACTCTCAGTTTTCTTCTAGCTTCCTTTATGATTTGTGCACTGTGAAGACTGCAAGGCTAAATAACAGTCCTCTTGTAGCAGAAAACCACAAATATGATTTAAAACTAATTCAATTTTAGTTAATGAAATACCGATTCACCAATAAATACTATATCCAAATTTTCTAATTCATTTTATATCTGAAGTTTACAGTGAGAATTTTTCTTCTTTTAAAACAAATGGATCTGTAAAAAACACACTTCAAACTTTTTCTGCTGCTTTCATAGACAAAGTAAACCTTTAAGTACAGTTAAAGTACCATCTGTAACAGTCAATTCTTTCCTTCTGGGATACTTCACTTTTGAAGGAGATTTTCTGTACGCTATCACTGTTAAAAGACAACTGCCACTGTAGTCATGAAGTCATGTTAAATGCATGTGTAATTGAACCATTACTCCTTTCCAGCTGCAGTGATGTTCTGCAATGTACTTTTTTTTTCTTTAACTTTTTTTTTTACTCTTTAACTCCTACTGCTTTGCTTATTTTGGGTCTGCAGAACCAGCAGAAAGTTTCTGAACATTCAACACTGTTGAAACATTAAACTGTTTCTATTACTCAGACCCTTACAGAAGGTTAGTGGAATGAAGGTATAATCTTCAGAAGAATGAAATTACTCATTTATTCCAAATATTAGATCTATTTCCTCTCTTTTAGTATACTAACCAGTCAACACAGAATTCCAGGTAGCCTTCATCTGGCTTCTCTATCTTTGGTGTCCCCATTTCAGCTTTTACTCCTACCAAGATATCAGTGTTTCCCTGTTTAAAAAGAAAACACAACACAACACATTGCACAACTGGAATTACAGTCACAGAACTACTCAATTTAAATGCCTATACTGATATTTCTACCTTTTAGTTATCTATACTGATAATTCTATCAGAATGAACTAAAAATAAGTTTAGGTTTTGAAAAAAGAAGAGGCTTTAGAAGGACAATGTTAGAGCCTAAGAAGATTCTTCAAATATTAGCTTTCTGTAGGTTAAAAAGACACTCTTACTTGTACTGGAAACAGCTATTTCTGCATAACCTTTATAATACTGCACATTGTATTTATCTTCTTCACATTCAACACATGCCAGAAGTAGTTTTGCTTCACTCTAAATGAACAGAATTTGTTTCCAGGGATAAGGCTCAATAGTAATTTCAGTTTTCAAGATTAAATGCTAGATTAGTTCAGACTGAAGGCTGTCCAGCTACTTCACAGTCAATGTACCTCAAGCAGATTAAACCAGCTCAAATGAATTATACAGCCTAGCGTTATTTCCTTAACCCAAGAGTTTCAGTTAGTGTTATACACACACACACCATTACACATACACACCATTACACACACATACACAAACCCACCTACAAATAGCCTCATCTTATCTTAAAACTAGTCACATAAACCAGAAATTTCATCAGCAAAGTACACAGTTTCTAAGGAATTTACCTACCAGCTTTACTCTTGCAGATCCACTTGTGTTCGATACAACATCTGTTTCTACTTCTGCACATCTGTAGTCTTCACAGCCACGACCATCTACACGAAGATCTTCCTACGTATGACAATCAATACATTGTGCTTAAGGGAATCAGAAATAATGAAAAGAAACAAAAGAAATAATGAAAAGAAACAAAAGAAAGAACCTGTGCTTTTAAAGTTTCTTTTCCCTATGCCAAACACAGCAGTAAAAAGGATATAAAAACAACAGCTATAGCTTCTCACTTAGGAACACAACAGAACCAACTGCATGTTTCCATTTAAATCTCATTTAGCCAACAGGTTCTCTACAGCCGGACATGAACTCCTGCATTAAGTCACTTTAATACCAAAAGAAAGCTTCAGACTGCAAAACTGTAAAAGTCTCAACTTTAAAACATAGTTTTCCTAATACCGCATGTGTCTTTCCCAGGACACCAAGTTCTGTACTTTTATATCTGTAATTAGGACCCAGCAAACAAAAATAACCCACCAGCCTTCCAAATGCTTTCATTTGTTTGCATTTCAAAAACAGGTATTTCACACCCTCAGAAACTATATAGCTTACTGCCATTAAAACAGTTTTACTTGCAGTAAAATACAGTTTCTGTCCTTTGTAAAGAGTCCTTTTATCTTTAGTATTGCTCCCCACGTGTCCTTCACTTTTCCTCCTCACTCCACACACTGCTAATCAGTTCAGTGACAGGCTAAAACGCAACAGCAAAAAACTTGAGAAAGAGCACAGCAAGAGGGGGAGGAGAACAAGACACGACGAAACAACCCCCTCGTCCTGCTCCCAGCCTGCTTCCCGTCCGGATGCCCCGTTTTCAGTGTGCTTGGGTAATTCTACACCTTTTTACAAGGCCTGTAGTTACCGGACAAAGCGGAATGGCTTTAACCTGCCAGAGGGGAGACTGAGACGAACTCTTAGGCAGAAGCTCTTCTCTGTGAGGGTGCTGAGGCGCTGGCATAGGGTGCTCAGAGAAGCTGCGGCTGCCCCATCCCTGACAGTGTTCAAGGCCAGGCTGGCCAAAGGGCCTTGAAGCAATCTGGACTAGTGTGAGGTGTCCCTGCCCGAAGCTTTAAAGTCCCCTCAAACCCAAACCATTCTATAATTATCACCGTAGAGATTCCCCATCCAAACACAAGGAGAGCCCCCGCCCTGCTTCCCCTTCCACACAGGGAGCAAGCACGGGGAGGGGATGGGCCTTACCCCACACCTCCCAGGGCAACAATACCAACAGGCACAATCCGAAGATCACCCCACTCGGAGGGGCACAGGCTGCGGCCTCCCACACCTCCCACCACCACCACCACCACCACCACCACCACCAACCACCACTACCTGTATGCCATGGACGATGTAGAGCTTCTCCGGCTCGCTCAGCACCACAGCCGCCATACTGCCGGCTTCCTCCCGCCGCCGCACCGCGCTCACGCCCTTCCGCTTCCGGCGCCCGCGCGCAGCCGCTCTACGGGGTCGGCCGCCGCGCTGAGGGAGGGGGAGAGCCCTGAGGCGCCATTGTTGCCCCTCCGCCCGCAGAGTGGGGGATCTCCTCATGGGAGGAGTGGAGCCTGCAGCCCCTAAATCCCCTTCAGTAAGGCTTTCATAGGGAGCAGACGAATCATTCTCGGACGCGGTGCCCGCGTCCCTGAATAAATGCTTCCTCCGAGGAGCTGACACTCATGATAAACCAAAGGGGCAGCGCCCGCTCGCTGCCTGCCCTGTGCTGAGGTAAAACCTGCTGAAGGGGGCTGCGGAAGTACCTCTCTGCTTAGGAGGGGCTCCCGTAGGGATAAACCCCTAAACCCCGTGAGAGAAACGGGGAAACGGCGAGGTTTTTAGCTAGGAGGAAGGACCGAGCGAGGTGGGTTGGTGCGGGAGCAGAGAAGAGACCGAGTGCTTCGGTAGGAGAGTGCTGTTGGTTCTGTGCCACATATCCCTGGGAAAGGAGCATGGGAAGTGTAATTAACACCACATACATTAAAACAATAATTAAGGCTGGGTTTCTTTTGACAGCCTTAATTCGAAGTTTCAGAGCAGTGAGTGGTTAATGTAAGTTTAACACTTTTCTTTGTTTTACATGGCTCTTGTGTATAATTGTAAAAGTTGCTATCTGACTTGATGATGATGCTTGCTTGGGTGAGAACGACCTCATGAGGATTGCACAATGGTGGAGTTTATCCAGGCATTTCTAGATCTCTGAAACTCCTTAATCAAGCATACTGGACCACAGGCAGGGACACCTCACGCTAGAGCAGCTTGCTCCAAGCCCCTGTGTCCAACCTGGCCTTCAGCACTGCCAGGGATGGGGCAGCCACAGCTTCTCTGGGCACCCTGTGCCAGCGCCTCAGCACCCTCACAGGGAAGAGCTTCTGCCTAAGAGCTCATCTCAGTCTCCCCTCTGGCAGGTTAAAGCCGTTCCCCTTGTCATGTCCCTAGAGACCCTTGTCCAAAGCCCCTCTGCAGGTTTCCTGCTGCCCCTTTAGGCACTGAAAGCTGCTCTAAGGTCTCCCCAGAGCTTTCTCTTCTCCCAGCAGAACAAGCCTGGAACAAGAAGTTTTGGAGGTTTTAGTTTGGGTTAGGTCTGGTCCTGTTAGCAAGCTATGCCATCTGTTACCAGTCAGATCAGAGCGGATGCTTTCTGGGATGCATTCTGTGGTTTTCCTGCTTGTAAAAGGAGTCAAGTTTCTGAACACTGGGGTTACTTGGGGGTTGCTCACGACTGCTCAGTGGGAGAGCAGCAGTGGAACCTGACCAAGCTTGGGTAGCTCATACTCCTTGGGAAGCCTGGGGAGCACCAGGCAAGGGCAGTGCCCCTGTGGGAAAGGGGCCTGGTTTGTGTGTCCTTGAGCAGCATTTGCCAGTGCTGCATCTGTGTTGGACCCTTTGTCTGCCCCACAGAGCAGTTTTTGTGTTCTCACATTCCCCAGCATGAACCAAATTACTGTAATGAGAAATTAAAAGCTGCCTTGCAGGAGTGAATTCCAAAATAAAGCATCCATGCAGGTGCACCATGTGATTCCAACTGAGAGCACAGGGGGAGGGGGCTCCCTCCCAGTCCTGTCTGTCTCATGGCTTAGCTGGCAGTTCCAGCTGCAAGGAGTAAGTGTTTTATTATTTATCATTACTTTTGTATTACCCCTTCTGCCACCCCAGCCTGGAGCCTACCTAATGCAAGTGGAATTCTTGCACAGCCCAGAGGCTCAGCTAGCACATCTCCATTACAGCTGCAGACAGCTGTTTTCCAGAGGTGCGAAAAACCTAGGCCTGGCTCGTTTTTTGTCTGGGAGGGCGGAAGGCATCCCCTTGCCCTGAAGAGCACTTCCAAGGACACTGGCGTTCCCTTCAATGTGCTGCACCGGTGGAGGCTATCAGGCAAAACCGATGTCAGTTGTGTTTGCTTCTGCAAGGGCAAAGCAATGCATTTTCCTCTAACCTTGTAAACGGATGACGTGCTGAAGTAAAGCCAGCCTGAGGGAACCACCTGGAATGTCAGAATTCCCACTGCGTCATTAACTAAAGCCTGCCGAGGATGTCCAGCCTGGAAGCGATGGCTCGACACCGGGAGCCTCAAGCAAAGGTGAGCCACCGCTTGTGTGCCGGTACCTGCCAACCAGGTATCCAACCTGCCCGGCGCCGGGAGCCATTCCCCATGGGAAACATACGTCTCCAAAAGCTTATTTTCTCTCCACAAAACCCGCATTCCCCTCCACCACCACCACCACCACCACCACCCCCCCTGCACATAAACACACCCCGGCCTCACGGGGCCCCGCCGCCGCTCACTTCCTGGTTCCTGTCGGCCCCACCTCCCCGCCGAGCACAGCGTAAGGGGCGGCGGCGGCGGCGGCGGGGCCGTGCCGGTGCTCCGCGGGGCGGATGGGGAGCGGCGCTGTGCGGCGGCGTTGGCGGAGGCCTGTGGGGTAGGTGACAGAGGGACGGGAGCGGGGGGGAGAGCGGGTCGCCCCCCAGAGCGGATCGGCCATCCCGCTCCCGGGGCTGAGGCGGGTGCAGCGCCCGCCGCCTGCACCGCAACCAGGGAGCACCTCTCGGCCCTCCGCCCGCTCCCCGCGCTGTGAGGGAGCCCGCTTAAGGGCCGCTCCGTGCACCCTCTTCCCTCCGGCGGGGCCCCGGGCACGGGCGGGTCGCGTCCTCTCCCGCAGCGGCATCACCTGGAGCTTTTGGCATGGGTTGGAAATCGGGAGGTGGGCTGCTGCTCACGCCTTTGGTACGCCGGCTTCCAGCGCTGGGCTTCAAATACTGGGAGGCTGAATGCGTTAAATAATACTGGGCTGGTCTGCTCTGGGGGTCCTTAGAGCAGCGTAATATCTCCACGGCCTGAAATTTAAACTGGGAGCCTCCAGCAATTTCGTCGGGGCCCTGTGGTCTGTTACTGGGACGGAGTGGTGGAATGGGATCCTGTAACTTGTCAGTGCATTGCAGTGATGAAATGGGCCTGCTGGTGAGCAACTGGACAGTGTTGCTGATCTACTTCAGAGGTGGTTATGGTCACTCGGTGTCTAGCTACGGCTGTGGGAGGCTACTGGAGGGCAGCTGTGACTTCAGGGACAGGAGTAATCTGTGTTGAGACCATGGCACAGTGCTGTGTTGGGGTTAGTTGAGGTGGGTGGTGAGTTACATGTTAGTAGGAAGTAATCTGGGCTGCTTTTAAGCAGCAGCTTCTAAGTATTACTGGAGTACTTCAGGAAAGTAATTTTTAAGAAGTAGCAAGAACTCACTATTAGGATACATTAGGAAACAGTCTTCAGTAAAATGCATGCTCAGGTGAGGAGGATGCGGCACTGGTCTCTGCTGAGCTCTCCTGCTGCCTGGGTGCCAGGGAGGGATGCTTTGGACACCAGAGCTCATTTAGATTTCTTCCCTTTGGTCCCAATTCCAAAAAGATAACCTGTGTTTTTCCAGCATGCAAAAGAGAGGCTGTATGCCAGCCTCCTGAGATAGCAAAGGTGCACAGTGTCAGATGTGTAGGAAAGGAGCCTAGATTCAAACTTGCTCTGATACAGTGGAATCACAGAGAAGGGCTGAAGGCCTGGGCTGAGTGACTGCCTTCAATGTCTGGTGGTGTAGATAGCAAGGCTTGAGCAAGTACTGTGGTTCTTCACTTAGTGAAACCAACAAGCAAGTCTTTTGCTTAGCGTTGCAGGGTGTTTTGGTGATAAGAGTTGTTACAACGTGAGCCACATGTTAATTCATATGCCTCTAAAAATGCAGCCCCACATACAATAAAGACTCAGTCCTTCAAACATGAGGACTCTGTCAGTGTAGCTCTTAGTGCTGTCTCACTGACGCAAAACAGTATTTGGCATGCCAATGGGAGCTGCTCGTGGTTTTAAGTTGACTGAATGCTCATTGAGAATTAGAAGGTGTGACCCAGCAGCGTTGTGCAGTTGTAGGTTTGTAAAAGGACAAATGTAAGGTCTGCCTAAAAGCTAAAGGATTTGTGGCAACATTTAACACCTATTGGGTATTTTTGTATATGTTTCTGTTTCATTTAGTGTTCATTTTGGGTGGTATTGTTACAGAGCATGTATTTTGGTTTGAAATTTCTTATTTAGTAGTAAACGAAAATGTAATTCAATCAAACTATTTGGAGCAGGTTGCAAGATGATGAATGCGTAATTCTTCAGCATATGATGGTCTGCTGCGCCCAAGTATTTATATGTTTTTTGGGGGTGTTTTCCTTTGTGTCTGCAAAGGAGAACAGGGTGTGTGTAACCTGGGCAGTGGCAACTCTGCTTTGGTGAGTCTCTTTTTTCCATATCTAATACTAACTTACATTTCTTGGTGGGTGGGATGGTGTGCATCTCCAACAGAACAGGAGCTGGCAGCATGTACAGTCAATGCAAGTTAAACCCATGTGTTGCATTATTTCAGGAAAACTTGCTTGTGGAGCCATTAAGCTTGTGCAGACAGCATATATCTGTTATAGGATATCTCTCATGTAGAGGGGATTATAGTGTAGGTGATGGGCATCCACAGTGGTGAAAATGGCTTGCTGTAGCTCAGCCAGTCTCTACAGATATTAATTGACTGAGCTTATGACTTCCTCTGCTCCCTCTGCAGTGTAAACGTGACCTTTTTCTTAGGGTGATACCCTGGAATACAGTTTTTCTGCCTTTCTGGAAGAAGACAGAGGTAATCTAAAATACGACAAGGTAGAGAGGCTTGTTGTCAGTTTGAATTTTCCCCGCGCTGGTTGCAGCAACCAGATGTGATTGATGGTACCCAGAACATCGCATTTGACTTATGCATGTAACTAATCTGAATCTTAAGGTTGCATTAGAGAGAAAATGAGAAGTTAAAGCTTTTCTCATTAGAGCTGCATATTTCCTGGGTTGTGCAGGCAATAAGAAAAAAACATAGCTTGTAACTTGACTGGAACTGCAGTGCAGCAAGGCTGCCAGTAACACTTTATACGGTGTCCTTTAGAGAGGGAATCCAAAAGACTGAGCCAGCTTGCCTCTGCAGGCTCTGGGTGCCAAACACCACATTATACAGCAGTTCCCAGCAAGTGAGGTGCAATGTGTTACAGGCAAGGTGCAGCTAGGTAGTGGGTCTTACTCTGCGGGAGCACTGGTGTGTTAGCTTCTTTTGCTTGCTTCTGTCTGTGCCTCCAGAGAGGGGGTTGCTTGGAAGTGCTTCTGGAAACGGGAGAAAGATCTGTCTGTAGCCTCATAGCTCTTCACCCCACCAGGTTACAAGGTGACCATAGAGATCTGGTACTGTTATGGGAGAAGAAGTAGAGTGCAAGGAGGAAGGGGAGGGGGTTTGCGGGGGAGGTGGAGCAGGGAGTAAAAACAGATGACAGGGATGGGAAAGTAAGGAAATGAGAAGGAAGGCTACAGCAGCAGAGTTCAGCTGGAAAAATGTTGGGAATCACTGTTCCAGGAGCTATAATAGCAAGTAAAATAAGAACACAGAAAACTCGGTGTTAATGCCCTTGGACAACAGAGGAATGTTGAACGGGAGGAAATGCAAGGCCTGTGTTGATGTGTTTGCTGCCAGGCTGGTGGTGGATGGCATGTTTGTGAAGTTCAGCTGGGAGTTTTGCAATACTGCACAACTGACAGGGATGACCAATCTTAAATATGGTGCAGCACGCAAAAGTTAAACCAAACGGGGTCAAGCTGAAACATTAAGAGTGAATAAAGGTAGCATCAAGAGCTATGCTGTTAAAACCGAACAGATAAAAAAAGACTGCAAAACATCTACAGGCCTGGTGGAAAGGCAGCAGTACCATACCATAGATACAGAGAGGACTATAGCAAGTGATAAAGGGAGATAGTAATGTGGTGTACATCTTCGTTCTTTACACTGACTACTTGAATTACTAATGTCCAATACAGCATAGAATATATATGCAGTGTACTGTGGGTCACAGATAGCCTGGGCTCCAGCTCTCAGTGTTTCGAAGAACAACAAAATTAATGTTTCCATACAGAAATTGTATGGGGATTTTTTATGGAGATAGGGATCCCTTGTGGATGTGAAAGCAACAGCGAGCAAAACAAGAAACACACAGTTTGCCAACTCATGAGTTCTTTACTATATTTCAAAAGCTTTAACGTACAGCCACTTTGAACCTGCAGGTTTTTCCAGTTCTCTGAGGTAGCATCATATGTTTCTTCTAGGCCAACTCTTAACATCACAAAAGTGGATCCTAACAGTTGTGATTTTCACTTCAGGCCTTTTCAGGATAGAGGTGATAATTCTTTGGTCCCTGTGTCATTAATTTGCTGTTTTAATGTATACCCTATGTGTTTTCTGTATTTGGTTTAGTTACCTGCTTAGGTATAGCATTTAGATTTAAAATCTAAATGGCTTCCAGCCGTCATACCGGTATCTTCTCTACCCTGTATGGTAGGGAAGAAGTGTAGACTACAAGTGGGGGAATAAAATAGAGAGGCTGAGTGACTTGTTCACGCTTGTGAAGGGGGGTTGTAGCAGGCACAGGTGAGAGCCAAATACTGGGTTAGACAGTCTGTGTGAAAGGATATGTCTGGTAAAGTGCGCTTTCTGCCTGGAAAGATAATACGCAGAATATTTTTTAGACTAGGATGGTTCTGCCAGCTTCTTACTATGATTCAGACTTTAAAGCTGAAACTGTCTCCTGCTGCTGTTCAAAATGTATTCCGTATGCCATAAAAGCAGTGTGGTTTTTCAGATAGGTGCTACAAATAGTACTAGTTGTATAGACAAACCTCCCCTCTTTAATATTTTGTCTTTGCTTTTTGTTTTTCTTCTGTTAGAAGTTGACATAGGGCAAATTGAGAATTTAAATTCCCTCAATCCATGGCTTGTTTTAAATCCTGAGTCAGCATCAAAATTCCAAAGCTGTCTGGAAGACCAGGACAGATTCTTCTGTTCTGTCCATCAGAACTGTCTATTCAGGATAACTGCAGTGCTGTAGGAAAACAGGACACCCCATTTGTTGTGTTATATTTCCTAGCACAGGCCCTTCTTGCAGGACTGCTCTTTCCTTCCTATACTTGTTCCAGCTAGGTGGCAATGAGACAAAAGTGATTTGTATTTGTATGTTCAGGATGAATACTTCTCTTT